AGATGCTATAAACGCATATTGTAAAAAGTTAACTATAACCGAATAAAAGGAGCTGGCCAAGAGGCCACCTTAACATCGAAAAAAAAAAAAAAATTCCTAATAAAGAATTACTAAATATATTAAAAAATTTACAATACTATTTTTCTATATGTTTAAAGAAAATACCCAAGTTACGGCGCTAATTTACGCAAAATTTTATTAATAAAACATGAAAAACTTTTCTAACAACGATTGTTAAGCAAGACTTCAGCTATTAGAATCTCAAATTTCAAGTTAAATGGATAAATTTTCATAGAGATATTTGGATTTTTGTAAAAAGAGACAATTACGAATTTTTTACTTTTTCTCTTGTAAAGAATCAATTTCGGAAGCACTTTCTAACAATGAAAGCTCTTGTACAATGATAATAGCATTTGTTTATATGATATTCAGCTATTAATATCTAAAATTTTAGGTTTCTAGCTTCGATATTCATGAAGTTATAACATTTTTTCTATTTTTTTTATAGACGGGATTTTTTTCTTGATGAAGTTGCCATTTTCAAACGAAACATAGGCGCGGATTAATTTTCTTTAGTCTAAATATATTATACAATTATAATAAGATTTTTAGAGCATATTTCACTCTATTCAAATCTCAATTTTCAGATCAATAGCTCAAAAACTCATGGAGTTATGACAATTTTTGTAAAGAATTAACGTAAACGTTTTCTTTAATTTTCTCTTGTAGAAATCGTTTTGCGAAAGACATTTCTTGAAATGAAACAAGTAAAATTATCATAATAGCATTTGTTGGTATACTATTCAGCTATCTCTGTATAAAATTTCAGAGCATTTGGTTGAGAATTGACAAAATGATGTAAAAATTTCGTTTGTCTTCTAAATTCGGGATTATAGCTGTGATGAAGACGTTTTTAGAGAGAATCTGCGCAATAATATAGTTAATAGAAAATTATAATAAGATTTTGCTTGTGAAATTTAAGAGTAAACGAACAAGAATTCATCAGATCACTTTAATTTTTCATATGTTTTTATAGACGTTCTATAGTTGAGAGAAGCAATTTCAACAAGTTTCTTATTATATTTTTATAAACATTTAAATTGGAAAAAAACAATTTTAACAAGTTTCTCAATAACTATCTATAGTTCTTTTGAGTAACAATTTTTCTTTTACTGTTTTTATAATCTGTCTAAAAAAATTTTTCTGGTCTGAATTAAAAGTGTCTAGGTTGATTATTAGGCAAAATTATAATTTTGTATTAGGCCAGAGATCTGCAATTTTGGCCCAAATTAAGGGTATAGGTTATATCAAAATTTTACGGAGAATTTTTTTTATTAGAACCTCAAAGGTGGTTTCATAGTAAAAATTTTGATATAACAGAAGGGGTGCAATATATTGCACGTGCAATAAATTTTAAAACTCATACATTATATAAAAAATTAATTTGGCAATTCCTAATTAGGAATTACTTTTTTAGAAATACAATTACAAATCGATTATATAATATGTAAAATAAATTTAGCAATTCCTAATTTAGAAATTACTTTTTTTAGAAAGTCAATTGATGACTCATAGTGAGTCAGTCATTTCAATTGACATATTAAAAATTATATATAAAGACTAAAATTCTAACTATAGACAGTTGAATAATTTTATTAGACATTCAAAATGACCAAAACCGATAACAGAATCACGAGACTTAATTTTAATTCATATTATTTTGATTGTAAACAATTTGATCTTTTAATTAAAAACTTTTTTAATAACCCAAAAACTTGTTCTTTTAAAGAATTTGTTTACTAATATGAGAAAAATTATAAAGCAATACAAGAATGTGATTGTTATATTCAAGCATTTTTTATTTTAGTAAATTAAGCGAGACTTCCTAGTATCTATGAAAAATTACAAACTAACAACATACTTCAAAAATGGCATTATGATCCAGTTCGAAGTGAAAAAGATTCAAGAGAATATTCTGAAAAAGATTACAATAAATATAAAAAATATCATCGGCAACCTGTTGATAGAAATGATCCAAGATGCAAAATTAAAAGAGCTGTTCTTGAAATAGTAGATCCAAAAAATCTAGAAAACAAGATTCTTGTTACTTTATATAGATATTCTTATAAAAACTTAAATGATCTTACAAATTGTGTTTGGTATACACCTAAATATTGCTCTCGACATACTTTTGTGAGATATGATTTTAAATCTGGACTATTCTATTATATACTAAAAAAATATAAAAAAAAACAAACAACCCTAACAGAAATAATCAATATACTAAAGAAAATTCATCTGAAAAAATAATGGATGATTTATTTGTTGAAAATAAATCTAGTGACGAGATTATAGTAAAAAATGCACAAGATAATCCTCGATGGGTAGAAAATAATCCAAATCATATTTATACTTTATATCAAGCTATAAAAAATATTGAAAAAAAGAAAAACAAATAGTGTTGGAAGCCTGCAACAATATTTTTTATAGCAATGAAAGTCGAGTTGAAAAAGGTTGTTTGTTTTCATTACTTTTTCCAAATGCATATGAACGTAAAAGTGCTGATAGTAGATTTTAGCAAGATTTTAATAGCTTATATGAAGAAGTTTTAATTAATGAATTCAAAGATCAGATCAAATATTTAGAACTTTTAAATCTTCTTGATCCAAAAAACTATAGTGTTCAAATAAAAGGTCGTGAAAATGAAAATTTTTGTCCCAAAGTAATTGGATTTTCTGCAAACACAAATGTTAGATTTATTTACGATTTTTGCGAAGATGAAGAATTAAAACCTATATCAGAACAGAAATTTAATAATACAAAATTATTTAGTTCATTTATAAATCGATTAGATTATATTGTAGAATTCAAGAAATTTAGAGAAAATAATGAAAAACCATGTTAAGAAGAATGTCCTTGTTGTAAAATTTAAATGATCTTTTATAAAGGTTCACCTGAAGACTTTTTTAATTTTAACTTTAAAATCAAATTTAATCATGATATTACAGAAGAAAAAGCAAAAGAAATATTAGAAAATAAGTATGGTAGATTTGAAGAATTAGATAGTATTTATTATTGGAAAAAATATTATACAATTGATAAAAACAAATATATTCTTGGGCAAATTGAACTGTATTATCCAAAAATTTATAATACTGAAAGAATATATCAAGAAAATACAGATGAATATAAAGCAATTAAAAGAAAAAATTTAAAAGAAAACCTTTTAGAATATAAAAATAGAATTCCTTCTGTTGAAATATCATTTCCGATAATATTACAAAAATTACAGAATAAAAAAACAAAAAAAAAAGAAATCTTATATTCGAACATCTACCAAATCAAGATAAAAAGACCAGCATATCAACAGAATTATCAGATCTCTGAAAAGAATCAAGTAAAAGAAAACTATCGATTAATGAGTTAAATTATGATTCTGATTTACATTCAGATGATTCAGATTATACTCGCAAAAGAAAAAAAGGCAAATATATAGAAGAACCAAAACAGGTTGAACAAAAAAATAATAATTTTGATCAAGAACAGATTGAAATCTATCAAAATATTATTAATCAACAACAGTTTGAAATTCAACAAAATTATCAAGAATCACTTGATAAAAAGAAATCTAACTATACAGAAGATGATTTTAATTATAATAAAGATTTTGAATTAGATATAGCAGATGAAACAAGAGATGAAGAATTCAAAAGAACAAACAGAAATAATTTTCTTTATTTAGGATTCTCACGTGTAATTCAAAAGTTATAAATTATTTTACTATATAGTTATTTTTTTGATATTAAAAATATTTATAAATAGCAAACAAATAAATTTATTTTTATTTAATAAAATATATCAATTTCTAAAATAAATACAATACAAGAAATATTATTTAATGAAAAAAAGTGTATCGAATTTCTATTAAAAAACCAACTTATTAATAAACAACCGAATAGTTGCTCAAAATGTAACAATACAGAATTTTACTATCGATACAATTTATAGATATATAAAAACACAAATTGTAACAAGACAATCTCAATATATCATAATTCATTTTTTAGTAAAAGATGTTTAAAAAGCAACTAGATCTTATTACTTAGCTATTTTTGGATTTCAAAAGCATATTATATAACACTCAGACATTTAACAGAATTATCACCAAAATCAATTAAAAAATATACAAAAATTTTTCATAATTTAATAATAAATATATTAATAGTTAATGATAGCAGGCTAGGAGAAAAATATAAAATTGTAGAAATAGATGAATCTAAATTTAAAAAAGATGTTTCATGGTGGATTGTAGGATTAACCAAAAGAAAATCTAACAAATATTATTTTGAAGTTGTACAAGACAGAAATACAAATACTCTTACAAGAATTATAAAAACATGTTATTCCAGAAACAAAAATCTATTCAGATAGTTGGCATGGCTATCAAGGATTAGAAAAATTAGGAATAAAACATATTCGTATAAATCATTCAAAGCAATTAACTCAAAGACAAAGATTAAGAAAAATTTATAGCAGTACAATTGAAGGTAAATAAAAATTTTAATTTTATTAATTTAAATATAAAATATATTAATAATCTATTAATAAATTAGGTCTTTGGAATGGAATAAAATTAAATATTTTAATAAGAGATCGAAATTTTGATACAATTACTCTATATCTTCAAGAATTCATATAGCGTCAAAAAAACAAGAACAGATTGTGGGAAGCATTTTTAGAAGCAATCAAATCTTATAAAAATAATTCTTAAAAATATATAAATATTTAATAATTCTTGGAATTTTTATTTTAAATCTCTCAAAAATGCCACCAATTTTGAAAAAATCAAATCATACTTTGAAAACTTGCTGTTTTAATTGTCAAGATCAAAATATTAGCTATAAAAAAAGTATTAAAAATTCAAATATTTATTAACGATATTTTAAAAAAAATTTGGATTGTATTTTTGTTAAGCCAAATAAATATGAAGATGAAATTAAAAGACTAAATTCTGTTGTAAAAGACCATAAAACCAGAATCTTATTTTTAAAAAAATGAGTTTTTAACTTAGAAAAAAATGAAAAATTAGTTAAACAGAATATAGCACAACTTTTTATAATTTATAAAAATTATTAATATTTATTAATATTTTTTTATTTACTATAATATTTTGTTTCTTAAATTTGTTTTCAAGTCTTAAAAATCAATAATTAATCATAAAATAGTATTTTTAATTTTGTATTTTTTTATTTTTTTAATAAATATTTTATTTCTCGATTTTTTTTTAAAAATATATATATAAAACAATTATTATCTATTTTTATAATAAATAAAATGTTGGCTCAAAAATTATTAATTTTATTTTTATTAATCAACCAAATTCTTGCATACTGCAGATATTTTAATAACAAAGAAGTAGAATCAAATAAAATTTTAAAAACAGATGCTGAATTAATATAGAAATACATATCTTTTTCTAAAGAATACTATAAAATCGAAAATATAATTAAAAAAACAAAATTTGAAAATTATCAATTATTAACTTCATTAAATACAAGAGAAAATTTTAATTTAATAGAACAATCTAATTTAAAAATTAAATATAAAACTAATTTACATAATTTTTGTACAAGTAAATTTTCTTACTTTAGTTTTATTGAATTAATTCATCTAGCAAAAGATTTTAAGTTCTCTTTAGAGTTAAAAAAAGAATTCATATAGATAAAATTTTATTTGAAAATGATAAAAAAAATTAATCAAGTTATTAAATTTAAAATTATTTAGCTTTATTGAAGAAAATAATTTAGAAGAAAAAAATGATTTTAATATTATTATTACAAATAATGATAAAAAAGAAACTTATTTTTGCAAAAATAATTAAATAATAAGAATTGCAATCAGATCATTTAAATTTATTTTGTTTAAAACAAAAAAAATTAAATATAAAGAAAAATACATTGTAATGATATTTACAAATACTAATTCTAAAATTTTAACTCGAACACTATATTCTGTAATAAAAAAATAAGAAAAAACTAAAATTGCTCTAATAAATTTTTTATAAATGATTTGTATATAATAATTATTAATAATTCTTTTTTTTAAATTTAAAAAATTAAAAATATTTTTCAAAGAATAATCTCCAAATTTGATATAATCTAATAAATTTAAAACCTAATCAAATAATTCAAATATATAATTATAAATAAAAGTATCAAATTCTTGAAAATTTCTAGTTTTGTAAAACTCAATTTTATCAATTGCATCTTTTAACAATAAATTTTGCGTATCACTTATTTTTTCTAATCTTTGATTTAATTCTGTTAATTCTTCATTTTTTGTTTTTAATTTATTAATTTCTTGAATTAAATTCTCAATTTGTTCTTCAACTTCAGTTAATTCTTCATTTTTTGTTTTTAATTTATTATTTTCTTGAATTAAATTCTCAATTTGTTCTCTAGCTTCAGTTAATTCTTTATTTTTTAATTTTAATTCATCATTTTCTTTAATCAAATCTTCTATTTGTTGCCTAAAAATATTAATTGTTTCTTGTTCTGCTGTACTTTCTTCCATTTTTTAATTTAGTAAATAAAATAACTTTTATTTATATAAATTCTTTTTATATTTTTTTGAAGCTAAATTACAAAATTTTATTTAAAATCAGATATAATTATTTTTACAGATAGTATTTATGTAATTAATTGTTATAATATAAAGAATTCAAAAACAAATTTTGATTTAGTAAACAGAATGAATAAATTGATTAAAGCTAGAGAAGAAATCTATTTTAAATATGTTAAAGGTCATTCAGGTATATATAGAAATGAATGTGCAGATAGATTAGCATTATTAGGTTCAAAAAATTATATATTTTTGAATTTAATTTTCAACTATACAAAAAAGAAAAAAATCAATAAAAGATTATTTTAATAATTAAATTTTATATTTAAAAAGCACATTTGCTACAACGATTTAAAGATGAGGCTAGAAGCTGAACCGTATCAATGATAAAATCAATGATTTGAAAATCTCAAATCATCATAAAAACACATGATATAACAACTATCACACCATAAGCAATTGGGTTTATAAGCATTAACAAAATCGCTTGCGATTTTGCCCAAAAGAGCCTGCGTAGCTCTGGAGTGTAGTATTTAACTTTGTGAGATTTCACAAAAAATGAGTAGCATTCAATTTGTGGCTTGTTTACAAGCCACAAATTTATAAGCATGAGGCATTTTGTGAAATCTTACAATACAGTTACTATATTTATCACAAGTCAAAGATTTTAAGAGGATAGCATACTTAGTTACCTTGGCGACTATACAGCGCGTCCTGCAAAACAAAGTTTTGCAGTTGCCTCCAAGATTGGGGGGCTCTAGGGGGTTGATTAATTATAAAATAAAATTAAGAAAACTATTTTATTAAAGTATTTTGTTGGTACTTAAATTGCAAAATTTTATTTTTTTTAATTTTGTTATATAAAAAAAATTTTTAAAAATATAATTTTATTAAAAATAAAAATAAAAAAAAAACAAAAAAAAGACATTTTATAAAAAAAAAAATATTTTTGTAAAAAATAAAAATTAAAAAAATTAAATTTTTTTTAAAAAAAAAATTAATCATCAGGAGACTCATATTTTTCTTTTAGAACGATATATTTTTTGTTTAATTTAAAATATTCACTATTTGTTTCATCAACTTCTTTTTGAAGTTTTACTATATTTTCGATAAGAGATAAACTCTTGTTATATTTCTTAAATGTACTTTTACAATTATCTTTTAGTTTATTGCAATCATGACAAGGAGTTTCTTTCAGCTCTTCTTTTATTTTTTTCTTTATTTCGAGAAGCAAAAAGATTACTGTATCAATATTTTTTTCCAAATCTATTCTAAAAAAAAGTAAAAAAAAAATAGCTATTAAAATTGTTTGCAAACAAAAAAAAATATAATAAAAAATAAACTCTATCATTAGTTAAGAACTTAAAAATTGTTGCGTGTATATTATGGCGAATAGTATCAAACTGGTCATTCACAAAGATACTATCTGTGTGTTTAATAAATTAGGCCCCAGTTACCTAAATGAGAAAATACCAAGTTCTTACCCTTTAACTAGTATGCTAATCATTTAGTTATTATAAAAAAACAAAAAAAACAAAATACTAACTTTTTTTAACAAAAAAAAACAAAAATTTTTACAAAAAACAAAAAAAAAAACAAAAAAAAATAAATTTTTTGTTAAAAATTATTATTTAATCTTAATATCGACATGTTCTAAATATATTAAAAAAAAAAAAAGTTAGTATTTTGTTTTAAAAAACAAAAAAAATAAAAGAAAAAAATATTCTCATAGTCTGAAATACCAAGAGAACCGGCCAAAAAAAAAAAAAAATTGCTAAAATAACATTATTAATACAAGTAACAAAAAATAGTTACTAATAGGAAAAAGAAATATTACAAACTATTTTTTTGTTAAGTGGTTGGAGTTGGTGTGTTTCAAACTATCGCGGATTTTTTTTAATCATAGAAAAGAAAAATAAAAAAATGAAAAAATATATACTAACTTTTTAAAAAAACAAAACATGAAAAAAGAGAGATAGAAATGAACAAACAAAAAAAAACAACAAAATTTTTTTATAGATTATCAATTACATAAACAAAAATTGGTTATCACATATTTAATTCTGATTGGTTGAGTTTTTTTAAAGAACTTGATTCTTTATATGACGTTTTTTGAGTTTTTTACAAAATTTTTTCAAACAATTACATAAAATAATAGATTATTGCTATATTGTTATTGCAATAACAATATATTTTGTTATATCATTTATTTTAAAATTTATACTACCAATTATAAAATTAAAATAATAATATAACTAACGATCAACAAATATATTGTTTATTTTAAAATTTTATAATACGTTAATTATATTGTTATTTTAATTTTATAATACGTATATTTGTTGATTATCAATTATATTGTTATTTAATTTTATAATATGTATATTTGTTAATCATTAATTATATTGTTATTTTAATTTTATAATACATATATTTATTGATTATCAATTATATTGTTATTTTAATTTTATAATATATATATTTGTTGATTATTAATTATATTATTATTTTAATTTTATAGTAAGTTGGTGAAGTTTATTTTACTTAGTAATTATAGTTTCAAATTATGCTATACTAGAAAAATAGAAAATTATTCTAAGTTTTACTGAACTAAACGAGGATAATTTCTATTATTTTTCAAAAACCTGATTCAGATTCTAAGTTATATCTTTGAATTGCTGTAGCTTGCAAATATGTATAAAGAAAAATCTCATACTAATGAATTTTATAATTTTTAGTTATTATTAAAATTTAGATGCCTTCTCGAAAATTCTCTTTCTTTTTATTGAAAAGCTTTCAGATAAACTTTTTTCTAATAAAGAATTTAACAAACAAATATACAAAATGATAATACCTGATATTTCTGAATATTCTTATTTACATTTGTTTGATAATGAATATTATTCAATAATTGCTTTAGAACTAAGAAAAGATTTTACTATATGATGTACAACAGAAATTGCTTTACAAAATATAGAGATATTAACAAAAAATAAAGTTCGTTGTATAAAGTTTGATGAAATTCAAGCAATTAAATATTACATAAATAGGATGACGAAAGTGATGAATTATTTGGAGTTAAAGAATTGTTCTTTCATTTAGGACAGTATTATCAAATTTATAAATTCTTGTAATATAATTTTGTTATCTGTATCTATTTTTATTATTTGTATATATTTTTTATTTATTATTTATAATAAAATTATTTTTGTTAAATTCTAATTCTGTATTTGTATCATCAGTGTTTTGCGAGGCAAGTAAAGACAGCTGCGCCAATGGTGCAGATGTATTTACTTTACCATTGCCTCACAAAATACTAATATTAGATATAATAATAGTAGTTAGTATATAAATAATTAATTTATAAATATCTGATTTTATTAAAATTTTATTAAATAAATCAATTTTGTATATTAAACCAAAAATATTTTTTTAATTAAAATAGCCCTAGTTTAAGGGTAGAATAAAGTAATCTATATTTTAATAATGATCACATTGCTAAATTTTTTTATAATAATATTTAATTAAAATCAGGTGATAATTATATATTATTTATATTGTACTATTTAAACAAATTGCCTAGATAGTATAATATAATATAAATAATATATGATCATTACCTGATTTCAATTGAATATTATTATAAAAAAATTTAGCAATGTGATTACTATTAAAATATAAATCACTTCACTCTACTTTTAATAGAACCAAATTAGCAATTGTTTTAATAAAATTTTGAAAAATAGTTTTTAGAACTATAATTCTTTAAATTTTAGCCATTTATAAATATCTTTGATTTTCTTAAAATTTTATTAAGTAAATCAATTTTATATATTAATAGATTGGATTTATCCGTACTAGAACTAGTACATTATACTAGTTTTAGTACACTTTTTAAATACAATTATTTAGTAATTTTAATAATTAATTATAATTTTAAATAACTTATTATGATTTGTTAGATATTGTGCATTATATAAAAAAAGTTTGATAGTTTTATATATTATTTTTGATTTTATATGATTTTTTTAAAAAAAATTACAATT